CACCGCGCTCGAGTGGCTGCGTCCTGAGCCCAGCACTGAGCTGCCCTGGTGAGACCCTAGCCAAGGCCAGACTGACTATTACGTGCGGGGCTGCAGCAGCGAGCGGGGCTTCTGCAAGGCAGACGTGGAGGCACTGACCTGAGCGGCCTCGGCCCCCCTTGCCTGGCGCTGCTGCCTCGCCCTCCCTCCTCTCCTGCGCAGCTGGAGCACCAGTGCTCTGGCTTCCCCTTGCTGAGGGGAGAGAGCCCTGAGCGTCACTCTCCCAGGCTGGGGGAACAGCAGTGCAAAGCGTGCTGTCTGGAGCCTTTCCCTGCGCTCCCATGGGCCACAGTCCAGCTAATGGGGCTCCCCACACCCCCTGCCCTGTCCATGCACCCTCAGCCCCCCCATCCACCCAGCCTGCTCCTGTCTCCTCCCCCGGGCCAGACTCCTACCCCCAACCTACTCCATGCCTCCTCTGAGACCCTGCACCCCTAGCCCGATCACTCCCTCCCTCCACTAAGACAACCTGCCCCCCGCCTGCTCCTGCCTCCTCCCCCAGGCCAGACACCTACCCCCACCCTACTGCTGCCCTGCACCCCCAGCTTCCTCAGCCATGCCTCCTCTGAGACCCTGCACCCCTAGCCCGATCACTCCCTCCCTCCACTAAGACAACCTGCCTCCTCCCCTGCTCCTGCCCTCATTTTTGGTCCCACCCCAGAGCCTAGAAGGACCATAAAATCCACTAGCCCTGGAACCCCAGAAAAGTTATCCTGGCCCGAGGCCTTGAACCTCAGTCCTCCCTGCCCTTCCCCTCGAACCCCAGAAAAGTTATCGTGGCCCGAGGCCTTGAACCTCAGTCCTCCCTGCCCTTCTCCATGGGGCTGGAGCATCAGGGCAGTGAGGTGTTTCAGTTGGGGGTTGGTTTTTTGGAGGGGCTCTTTTTCCTTCTCACTTACGTGGTTTCCAACTGATTTTTCGGTGGGTCAGTGGCTCCCAACCTAAAAAAGGTTTCCCACCTCTGCCTTTAATAAAGCTGACGTTGAAACCTTTTTGTGCTGGACATGATATTTTACTTGATTTAAAATGAAGCCTGCTTTACCCCATCTGGCCACAGCGTCCTGTCTCTGGCCCCGATTCCGGGGCAGGCCCTGTGGTCCAGCCCTCATCTGGCCACAAAAAGGACTGATGTCATCCCCCCTTGGGTAGGAGAGGCCACGATCCCGCTGTGGCGGACAAAGGGGGCTGGGCACAGCCCCTAGTGTACATTGGAGAGACCGGCAGCCTTTCTTGCGTTTGCATAGTCCCATCGCTGCCTGCACAAGTACCTTACAGTGCTCATTGCTCTTACAGCTCGAATGTGTTGGGAGTGTGGACAGCGGCTTGACCGCTGTGAGCTGGAGCCCTGACCAAGAGCTTGTCCTGCTGGCTACAGGTACAGATGATTGTCTATGAACTCTGCTGAGCAAATAAAGGGGAGTTTAGTGCAGCCTCCGTCTGTTCTCATGGTGTCAAGTTCTGCCCCATTTGAGACACACAACAGGAGGGACTGAAGTGCCCCAGTGCGCAGGGCCCCTCGAATGGCAGATCCGTGGCCATGCAATGACGGGTCAGTGGCGAGGCGTTCGGGACCCCCAGCCCATCCCCCCACCCGAAAAAGCCCCACTACCTGCCTCCAGCGACGAGCGGGGTACCGCCAGCCTC